AGTAATCAGAGTACACAAGTTCAAGTAAACTGATGACCTGAATAAAAGTTTTAGAGTTTGAGGTTTCGCAGTGCATTGTGGGATGTTAGCGTACCGTGTGCAAGAGGCGGCAAAAATCAGCATGGCAGACGACGAAGGAAAGGCGTACAAGGCAGAATATGCCAAAAGTAACCGGGCCTCGTGCAAACTATGCAAGGGAAACATCACAAAAGACTCCCTTAGGCTTGCCAGAATGGTGCAGGTACGTATAATGGTCTAGTATGTACAGAGTGAGAGCAAAATTCAGGGGTTTCCAGACACGATCGTACACAACATGGCCAGGGCAGACGCTCGTGTCATGGCCACCGTGTGGCCATTCAAAGCAAAGGGCCGTAGCGCGTATATATTGCGCTACAATTTGAAACGTTATATTAGCCGTTTTTTGCTCAAGAAAGTATTGAATGTGCTAATGCTTGCTCGTAGGTCTTAGGTGACAAAATCTGGCAACATAAATTTTCACGAATACGAAGACAAATCTCAACGTTGGCCATTGCCACCAAACAATAACAAACAACATGTGGGAGGGGAGAGGCAAGATTAGATCATGCATGCCCGGGCCTGCTTAGCGGTGCAACCATTGCCTTATCGCATACCTTTTCTGTATAAGCGGTGAAAATGTTTATCGAGGTTTTCAAAGAAAGATAACAGACGTGTTCGCTCTGAGAAATTATTCATTGGCAAGCTATTCTTTTGTGTTCTCTGCGACACGTCTGGCATTCATTATACACATGCAAATTTGCCTGACCTGCCATTTTGGTCAAAACTGCATAATAAAGCGACCATAGTCGCGATGCACAAATCAGATAGAGCATCATCATGATGAATTACAGGTTTGACAAGTGTATTATTTTCATCAGCGACATGGGAACTGCCTTTTTGGAATTTTGACATCATACATTGTTGTTGATTCACGATAATAATTTTTGCTGGAAGGTATTTAATTCCTAAGTCTTCTTCCCGTTTTAAAAATCTCCAGCATGCCACTACTGTAGAGTTTACTCCATGAGAGTTTTGTAGGTCGACTTTACCCTCATAACTGAGTTCTCCCCTCGATATTGTTAATGTAAAAATCATCATCACATATAATGATAACAATTAACGTTACCATTACTTCCAACACTTTTCAACTGACTAAAGTTTTTAGAGTAGTTTATAATGATAATTTAATAATGACAATGACAATGACAAATAATATCACATTTATGTAGTGCAGTAGTAGTGAGCAACACAGCATTTTCCTCTTCCATATCTACCGGGTAACTTTACATTCAAAACTATAAATGTACACAAAATTAACTAACATATGCCCTGGGCAGTTTTGTCTTTAATGGAGTTGAGATTGATACTGTGAAATTTATTGATTACATTGTTAATATTTAAGTGTATGAATGGTGACCTCATAGATTTTTGGATATGACTATACGGTATGAGGTATGTTAACATCATGCTGGAATTTTCTGTGAACTTGTAGATGATTTTGTATGTCATTATTTATCAATGTATTAAAGGTCCTCATATTTTTCCTTCCATGACCATGCCCCTGAAACTGGCAGTCCCCTCATTTTGATGGGAAGGTAAGGTTTTCCTCCTTTGCTGGAAATTGACACTATTCTTTATTTTGAATGTTTAAGTGTCCTTTGCAGTATTGCCAATACATCAGTAAAAAGTTTTATAACACATACTCACCTTTCCTCCAGGTTCCCAACTGGTTCCATTACTCCTGCTTCTTCAAGAAATGCAAGCCAAGCTCTACTGTGGAGTTCAGTGGGGTGACGGGCCTGCGATGGGATGACCAGGAAAAGCTTAAGGTTGGACTTAAAGTTTTGCAGTGATTTTTCACGTTTGAAATGTCCTAAAGGAGCCCTCTATCCATTGTGATTCTATGCTTTTCAGAGCCTGATTGTATATTCAATAACAGCTGATAGTCAAGCTGGATAAGAAAGTTTGGAACGTAGAAATTATGCAAGAGTATTCTGAATCTGTTAAGGTTCTCCATGATCAATGTGACTCTCATTGTGAACTTGTTTTTTTCTTTATGTTAGATGACACAGTACTGACATTATCTGACTTGTCTTTAGGCTGTTAATAACTTTTGTTTGTTGTGATTAGAAAACCATTGGAGGAGAAGGGTCATCAGCAGGGGCTGATGCAGGAGGAGATGAGGTAGATGCACCAGGAGTCCAGGTGTTCAGTGTGGAGTATGCCAAGTCTAACAGAAGTGCCTGCAGGGGGTGCTCTGAAAAGATAGACAAGGTAAGAGGCTTCATAGAAGTAGAGGAAATCCAGTCTCTGATGGAGGGTAGAGCAAAGTGAAGGATGCTTTCAAATTTAGTTTTAGTATTGTATCCAAAGTAAAGTAAATAAGTAGTATTGAAGGACTAATTCCATATTTCACCTCAAAGTTGCTGGTACATGTTGTATATGTATCTACCTAAATGTGCTTTCTCAGGGCCTGGTCAGGATCTCCAAAAAGGTTGATGAGGGAGACCAGTGGGGGCCCAAGGACCTGTGGCACCATGTGGACTGTTTTGTGGAAAAAAGGGAGGAGTTGGGCTTTACCACAGACATGGCTCCCTCTGTCATCCAGGGCTACAAGAAACTCAGCAAGGATGACCAAGACATACTGGTCAAGAAACTGGGATCAGGAACTACAGGGTAAGAAAAAAAAAACGGACAGTGTGGCAAAGAAATAGAATTTGCCATGCCTTAAGTTGTGGTAAAGGTAGTGTTGACCATTTGTCAGGTGTGAAATAGAGTAAAGACTATGTCCATGACATCATATGATGGCAAAT